TTATTGTTTAACTCTTCGCTGAATTTCCCATGTAAAACGTCGTTGTAACTGTTAAATTCTTCCCACAGACAAACATTTTCTGCTGAGGGTAAACGGGGCTGAGCGGTCACCTATGGCCCCGCAGTCGGCCATTTTTAATTTTATTTTGAAAAAATCTTAATTTACCCAGAATTCATTTGACCACAGCCCGGTTTACTCTATGGATTTAGTATAGTCAAGAACTAAACCGCTTTGTGCAACGGATGAATTTAAGCATATATCTGAAGACTGTTTGTTGTCTATCTCACATCTGCTACACTATGAACAAAGTATACTCACAGACATTAATGTGTGAATTCAGACACTGTGTGTTGTCTCGGATCAAACATGGCCGTTGCATACTCACCGGAAATGATGATCGCAACTTGTGACCGTGATTGTCGCCCACCTGTCGCCTGATTTTCTCACTTGACTAGAAAGTGAACGTTTTACTTTCCTGTGTCTGCCCTCCTGGGTCACGCGACATGGAAATTATTGGCCGCCATTGGCGCCGACGACGTACGTACGTACGCGGACGTACGTTGGTGGTCCCTCCTCTTTCCTTACGTAGCCAAGATGGCGACCGTTGAGACAAGGGTTCATCGTTTTACACTCAATTTTATATGAAAGTATGAGAATTGAGACACATCACGGTTGTGAAATTACAGTGTTTGCACAGACAACTACACTTAATGGATTAAATGATTAATTATTAGAGTGAAAACATTAAATATATCATGATTACATCGTTTAAGATCAAGAAGCAAAAGATATCTAACAATAACCTCCTGCTTCTTATCATTGTGAGGGTTTCTTATCACGTTTCCAAGGTTGTTGTTGTGATGCAGTGAAACTGTTGTCTTTATTTAACTGGGATCAGTAATATTTTATCATTTTCATATTATCAACAAATATCACAAAAAAAAAAAAAAACATCTCCACCCTGTTTGCGGCCCACAACCATTGGTTCCTACTGAGGATATAAATATATCTTTGAAAAAGTGCTCACAGATAAAGTTTTATTTTAATAGGCTCAGTGATTTCCTACATCAGCTGCTCGCTGTAATTTTATCAAATAAGAGGTAATAGTGCATATGTTGGGGACTTTCATCGGCGGATTAATCCACATTTGGTGTTCTATGAAGTATCTGGAGCAGCAGGACAGTGTGTGGGACTAAATCAGAATAAACTCACTCTAACATGGGACATTTCCTGCTTTTACTGATTATTGACACTTGAACATTTTGCTGCTATTACACACTTTCAATTTTGTTTAGGTAAAGTTTATCACTGGTTTTATATTAAGAGCCAAAACAACAACTAACAAGTGATAATCAGATGATGGAAAATGTAAATGTTGATGATCAAACTCTTACTTTTTTAAAATGTACTGTAAAAAGTGTGAAACTGTAAAGAAGATGTTTCTTATGTTTCCTTTATTATTTGTTTCTTTATTAGACAAGCAAACAAAAATAAAATACTCAAAGCAAACATCAGTGATCTCAAACATATGTATGACTTCCACTGCATACTTTAAGGCAGATATACTTCACACAGGGCGAGTGCAAAACACGAGAAAGAGCCAGAACAGACGAGTTGACAGCAGATGCTCACATGCCTGAAAAAAACAAACATAAATTCTGCACATAAAAGAGGCCGAGAAACGAGGCAGTGAAAACGTCTGAATTCTCAAAACTCAAAACACTTTCAGGTCAGTCAGTGTGGCTCCTCACTCACCCGTGATTTGTCTTAAAATCAGCTGTTTATTGTAAATCTGTGTCTTTGCTCCGTGTCTCTACCAGCTGCTGATTAGTTATTTTTCTTTTATTTGTTCACTTTTGCAGGTATCACAGTTTAACAATGACGGTTTGTATTTGAACATTTCATAGTAATTATTTTTCTCTACTTGAAAACTGAGCTGACACTAGAGCACACACATAAAAACATGAACACGCCTGAAAGTGTCACAAGGAAAAAGGATATTAGAAAATAAAAACCCTGATATTTGAGCTGCTGTAGACGGACTATGAAAATGAATAAATTAAACACTGGCGCAGCCTGAACAGTGGTAACACTTGAGATATGATGAATCCAGACACTGCATGTGTTTCAGTAGGATTCACACATTGTAACTGATTCCCTCATTAAATAAAACAGAACCTTATGAGCTGGTTGTGCTGCTGAAATATCATCTATTACCTGCAGACAGTAAATAAATTAAATCACAGCACCATCAGTTTAATTCCTGATGTGTCTTATTGAAGAAACAATCATTTTTAGCAGAAAACCACGAGTTTAAATGAAGCTCAAATGTCACTGCTAATTAAAATAAAGCAGTGGATCAGTAATAATTCTTGTGTGAGGAGCTTCGTGCTGCCGGTGTAAAATGAACATTAAGTTTTGTTTTGACCTCATTCGTCATCCACTTGTACACAACAACAACAACAACAACAACAACAACATGTTTAAAGTTCAGACAATCACCAACAGCATCACAAAGTCAATTCTGTGACTAAGGCAGGAAACAAACAGTGGTTCAGGTTCATGTCTCTGTTCTCCAGTGATTACGACTGAATTCCTGATGCAGAGTAGCTTCACTTCACTTCCAGCACCAAACAGCTCATGCATCAAATTTAATAACTGACAAGCTCCATTATTATTTTTTTTCCCTTTTTCCAAACAGTTTCTATATTTAGATATTTAGATCACTGACCAACGAAAAACAGCAGTTGCAAACAAAGTTGACAAGATAAGGCAGAAATAAAAAAAATCCCTTGTGCTTTGCTTGTGCTCATAAGTCATTATCTTACAGAGGAACATGGAGTCCTGCACACAGAGCAGCACTCTGTCATCAGGGCTGGACTTTAACTCCAGCTGAAGCAGGTTTCTCTCCAAAAACATGCGATGCTGCTCAATATTCAAAACAATCATTTACTGAGAAGTGTCTCTGTTTTTAAATCGAACCTTTCAACTCATCAAATGAATCACTATATACAGATACAGCCCAGTGTTGTTCATATTTACAGACGTAACTCTGTGTGTGAAGATCTCTAAACTATCTACAGTCATTATTTTACACCCCTGAGGAGCTTTATGACCTGAGTAGCTGTTTTTTATTCTGACTCCTATCGGACTGTGTAAACACTAAAGCTGTGTATAAAAATATAAATGGTCCCTTGTTGTATTTTGTGCTGGATGTCCATCGACAGGAGCGGGTGGCTTAGAGGAATGTTAGAAGTGGGGGTGAATCAGACCTGGGTCGACTCCAGCTCCGAGTCTGCGGCTCCTTGGCTCGTCTCTGGGACTCAATCTCTCTGAGTTTACTGTGCCAGATCACACTGATCAATCCAGGAAATAAAAGCTTTGTTGAATCTGTTCCATAAATTTTTTTTTTCTGCTTACATAGGAGAAAAAAGAGACGCGGGACACTGAAATAAAACCCCTAATTAAACACAGGGAAGGACAGTGGTGGCTGCACAAAGAGAAGATTAAACTTCCTTCCCTTCCAAACATTCTGGTGCGTTCACTTTCTAAACAATCAGTAAATTAAAACTTCGGCTTTAGACAATTAAATACAGCTTGAACGTCAGGTCAGTGGATCCCATTAGATGAAGTGGTGTCGCCGTGCCAACCATCATCATTGAACACGCCTATATTTTTAACCAAGTCATTTGAAAATAACGAAGATATGAAGAACATCTTTACTTTAATTCCAGCTCCCTGTAGTTAGTATTTACAGGCCGCGTATAGACATGTAATAAATGGTTTATAACACACTATAATGTGCAATATGCAGCTCTACATGTTTATTAAAGTAACAACTGTAACTCCTCCTGTGGACACACATAACTGATGCTGCTGTTAAACAAATACAAACACTTCAAAATCTGTTTAAACTACATTATTACTCTGTTATAAACCATTTATTACACGTTCCTATAGTGATTATAAACGCTACATGGACGTGTGACCAGAACAGATATATTTTTGTGTTTTTCTTTGTTTCACTTTTAATCATCAGATTTATTTTGACCCTCAGGTTGGGATCCACTGAGCTCGACCGACAGCTGATCCAAACAACAAACAAACAAAGAAAGAAAATGAGTCACACACAGAACTCAGGACCAACATGTTCATAAAGACGACTCATTAACGTCTGTGAGTCTGAATGTTCGTCTGGGAGCTTGTAAAACATTTTTAGGAAACAACAATGTCCTCATCATCGAGGCTTTAAGTGACTGTTTTCCATTAAAGGAGCTTTTTGTTTTTTAATGATTCCACTCCACATTGAAAAAGCCTGGAAAAGTCGCTCTACTGATGCGTGTGCAGTTTGCTGCGTGACGACACAGAACTGAGAGAAATCTAAGTGTCACTTTCTTTTTAGGAAAAACAAAATAAAAACAGCTACACGAGTAAAAACAGAAACCTAGAGACGTACCAGATTAAAGAAAATGTTTCTCATGAGCAACTTTAGAAGAGAAAGTTTAGACGAGGAAACTGATCACCATTCACGACTGAACAGGCTGGTGCTGTAGCAAACACATGTTCACTTCATCATTCACAGATGCTTTTCAAAGGTTAATAATGATCTGTGTTTAGAAAATAACAAGTTGTGACATAAAGGGTGAAATCACCTGCTGGAACAAAACCTCGTATCTTCAGAATATTTTACAAACGTTCAGGAGCAGGTAACATTTCTAGACGAGATACTTTTCTCCAGAGAGGAAACACTGAGCAGCAGCATCAGTGTTTACTACAGAACAGCTGATGGATCAATGAGGCGTACCTAAGCTGAAGAGTCAGCTGTTCACACGATCCTGTACCACATGATCAACAATCATCACTGCGGCTGAAGACGACAGTGGACAAGCTAAAAAAAACTGACAGAAACAGAAAGAAATCCAGATCAGCTGATGATGATGACGACGATGATGATGATGATGATGATGATGATGATGATGATGATGACGATGATGATGACGATGATGATGATGACGATGATGATGACGATGATGACGATGATGATGACGATGATGATGACGATGATGATGATGAGTCACAAAACAAGTTCTCAAAGATCTTCTCAAACAGGCCGAACAGAGGGAACCTCAAATCAAACGTCAGTGATTTCTGTCTCTCAGCTCTTTGGACGTTCTTCTGACATCAAGTCTCAGTTTAACAAACTCAGCGGCTCCATGATCATCAGAGGTTTCTTCTAAATCAGACGTCACATCCAGCTGCATCATCTCCTGAGCAGGAAACCTCAGCACCGTCTGAGCAGCTGCTGGTGAGGAGATCAGCTGGTTCTCCTCAGAAGTTCTGCTGCCGCCGTTTCTTGGCCTCGATGGCGTCCATGATGGGCTGCCTCTTGGCCTGGTAGCGCTGACGGATCTCCTCGATCTCCTGCTCCATCTGAGGGTCCAGAGAGGCGAGTCTCAGCCGCAGCTCCTCCACCGACCACGAGCTTACCTGAGGAAAGACACATGAAGCCGAGTCATCAGTAATCCTCTCACCTGTGTGAGGCGTGGAAACACACACACACACACACACACACACACACACACACACACACACTGTAACCTGAACCACCAGCGCTGCAACAAACTATTTTCATTATTGATTAATCTGCAGATTATTTTCTGAATGAACTGATTCATAATTCTGTTCATGAAATGTTTGTTATAATTTCCCAAAGACCAACGAGACTTTTTCCATCTGCTGTTTGTTCGGTAAGAAAAGTTAGAAATCACTTGACTGATTATCAATCAACTCATTAATTAATTGTTACAGTTCCATCACATTATAATGTTTTTAATCCCTGCATCAGTAATCTGGTAATGTGCAAAGATAATGTTCTTTTCTAAGTGACTTTGATCATTTAAATACATGTTCATCACTAAGATCATCATCATTATACTGAGGTGATTCTGTTTCATCAAACATTTACAAACATAATGAGGGAAAATATTAGAAACACGTTTCAACAACACGATCATCATGAAGCTGTTACAGGAAGAACGAGGCGGAGCTGTTCAATCCATTAAAGTTCTTATACAATAATGGAAATTTGAACATCTTTGATTCTGGGACACTCAAACTATCTGCAGATGAAGACCATGCAATGTGACAGAAAGCATCAGTCAAGCTACAAAATGGATGTTAAAGTAAGATTGTTTAGTCAGCTGCTGTTTCCACGGTAAAGAAGCTTGAAATGATCCAAAGCTTCACTTTCATTCTACCTTCATCATCATCATCACCTGTGTGCTTCCCCTCACTGCTGTCCAGGTTCACACTGACTCTGGAGTCACTTCCTCTGATTCAGCAAATTAAAAGCCCTTGGGAGAATTTCAAACCCTTACAGAGTCCATCATCCGACGGCCGGAGAGTCTGTTTCCACATTAAAGAGAGAGGCTGGTCTGTGTTCGGCCTCAGACCTGGAGCTGAAGCTCGTTACTCTCTGCACTAATGACGTCTCTTCCTGTGCAGGTGGAGGATTTCATGACTTGAATCCCGGAGATCAATCGGTACCGAGTCCATTAATGGACACTTAAGAAAATCTTTAGCACAACCCTAAAATATCTGATGCGTGACAGTGAGGTGTCTGATAAGTGGATCTATTTTAGTTCCTTTCAAAGGCTCCAGCTATTGACATTTACTCGATCTCTCTCTCTCTCTCTCTCTCTCTGTGCTGTGGGCCTCCGATAGGGACCTGGTCCGGCTTTAGCTTCGCCCCGGGGGATTCCTCCTCTCAGCTTTTACCAGCAGCACTTCGCTCTCAGGCTATTTATTACCCACAATCAATGGAGCTAAAATAACACTGGCGTCCTCGTCCACTACAGATAACCGTGAGGAGAGGAGGGAAGGTCCAACAACTGGGCGACACCAGGGTCAAGGTAAAACCGATACCGACCAAACCTCCCATCACCTTTAAGCCTGACGCAACACTCACTGTAAAACCCTCAGTGATCAGGATTATTCCTCTTACACATCAGAAACACTCAAACTAAAACATCCAGAGAAGCTTCCTCATAATCTCCTCGTCCCCCCCTCAGATCCGTGGTCAGTGTGTTTCAATCACTAGAATACGTCTGTTGTTCAGTGGCCTCCTCGTGCTGTAGCTCCAACACGCTAACAGAAGCAGCATATTTATTTTTATTAGGAAAATAGTGAACACACCTTTTCCACTGCAGAGCAACAGAAACACAGTGAAACACTCCGTCGACACGGCTGCAGTCGGAAAAGCTTTTTTATTGTTGCACCATCGTCGCTCGTTGCAGCTGAGTGTCGCAGCCGCAGTGTTTAAGTACAGAAAACACTTACAGTCATTAAACATTTAGCATTTGAGCTAACAGCTGACAAACACGCTCTCCTTCACAAACACACGTAGTGGCTGGAAGAGGAGTGAATGAATGAAAAGCAGAAGGTTTATATGAATGTTTCCTGAGCAGATCTTTTTTTTTCCTTGGACACAAAAAAACAGGAAAGAAGAAGAATATGGGAAATAACTTGTTGTTTTCTCTCACACTAATCACATTTGATTTTAATTAGCTATAATCAATAGTTTTCTATAAACAGAGGATCACTGGACAACTTGTATGTGAAAACAGTCGCTCACAGCTCCACGAAGCATCTCAGTGTCTTTCAACTCTTCCACTGTCTTCACCTGCTCAGCAGCAAACAGCCGTTAAAACAGCCGCTAAAACTCTGTTTTTCCAGGAGTTTCACTAGGTTTTAATTTCCTACACTTGTCTGAAGAAGATCAGCTGATTCTGCAAAGTGAAGCAAAATAACTTCCATAGTTGTGAGGAATAAACTGGACAAAGAAACGAAAGGTTCCAAATAAACAAAGAATAAAGTTAAAGATTTTAGAGATTTTAACTTAATACAAGCTGCACCAGCACAACAACGTTAAACATGTTTCATTTAAACACATGAACTCGTGTCTGACTGTCGTCTGTAGAACCAGAACCAGTTCTGCTCAGTGTTTCTTAGTCAATATGAAAACCAGCAGTCTACTAGGAGTTATGGGAAGACTGCTGAAACCACTGACAGGAAATCACACACACACACACACACACACACACACACACACACACACACACACACACACACACACACACACACACACACACCACACACACAACAACACACACCACACAGAACATGTCGCTAGATGGACGAGCTCATTAACTGGTCGACTGCGAGTCTGGCAGAAGAGAAACCAATTAAAGAAGAATAAAAGTAGACAGAGGAAGAAAAACTAGAGGAGAAGGGGAGGGAGGGAGATGAAAAAGGGGTGAGGGAGGGGGAGAGAGGGGAGAGAGGGGGGGAGGGAGGGGGAGAGAGGGAGGAGGGAGGGGAGGGAGGAGAGGGAAGAATGGAGCGATTGAGGGAGATCGGTTGTTCTGTCTCTTCTCATGAATAATGGAGGTTGTGCTCTGTGCTGTCGCAGGCTGAAGATGAAACTACAGATCAGATGGAAAATATTAAGACGAGGCAGCTGAAGCCAAACCAACTATATAACATATATTTGCCTTTTATTAAAATAGAAATAAAATGTAGAACAGAGCCAGGTTCACTGTTCCACTGCATGTGGAGGTATCATTAGTATTTATAGGAGATAAATAATTAACACAAAGATCTCCGTCTACCAGAGATTTGTTTTCTTGGTCACTGACGACTCTCATGACAGTCAGCTGGTTAATTACGGAGGCCCAGAAAGATCAACATAATACAAAAGTCACAACACAAATACATAAGTAGTGTGACTTTTGTATTTGTGTTGTGGCTTTCCTACTGTGTTGACCCTTCTGGGCCACCGTAGATAATCTCAGCCTATTAGAAGCCAAACATCTTATGGGGATACACTGGAAAAGTATTTATGGACGACATTGGGGTCTTTGGATCAATGACCTTTCTTCTTGCAGAGCGACTGAAAGGCTCATGTACATGATCAAACAGAAAAGTCACATTTTTCATAAAGTATAGGATTCATTTCTCAAATTTTAGGAATCACCTGACAACCTCCTTTCTTAATTTACCAAACGAGACGGTTTCTTTCCTTTTAAACTGTGTTTGTTTGTTCTGGTTTACAGGTATGTAGGTACGCATATATATGTGTTAACATATGTTTACATGTTTAGGTAATTTATTAATTATCATTTTGGAAACCATCATTGTTGTTGTTGTAGAAGCTGGTGGCTTTCTGCTCATGTGTGGGGGTTTGACTTGAAGGATAAATCCAAACCACTGGACGAGTGACGAACATGTTCAAAAACAATAAAGAAAAGTGATACAAAAAAAAAGAACTTAATGTTTGACTTCTACTCTGCTGATATAATTACTGTGACTATGGTATTTACCTGAGAAGGTCTGGTGATACAGGAAGTGTCTCCTTACACAGTGAAATTAAACTTTCAGTTAAAAAGATGTACATGTGAGTTTTGGACCAGGCAACATGTCCCAGATTACTGTATTAAAAAAACATCTGGTAGCAAAATACAAAAATAGCAGAGTAGACGGATCTAAAATTAAACAGTCAGCATGAAGCCGTCAACGAGCTGCCTCCAAGTATTAAAGACCCCGGAAGAAATGAGCTTTTTATCCTCACATTTGCAAGTCTGATGGAACAACAAATCCCCCGGGAGGATTTGTGTCTTCGATAAAGCCTCGGCTCTAAATGCTTGAGTAAAGCACACAGGTACGTTGTGTTTTTACCTTCATTGTTAAGATGCTGTGAGGTCTCTGAGCGCACACAGTCACTGTGATCTCAGCTGGGTGTTTCAAAATAAGACACAAACACAAACAAAGACTAAAAACAGCAAAAGACGTCGAAATTAAAAATAAGACACTGGTTTCAAAACCGTCACACAGTCTTTCACAAAATGACTCTTTATCATTTGATTATTTGCTTTTTTTTAAATGAAGATGAAGAGCTGGATGAGACTCATCGCTCACAGCTGTTAATAACGAGACACTTTGTCCATTACGTGTAATGAGACTGTCACTGTCTGGACATTTGGTAAATAATGACAAACAGCACGGACAGATGTCAAACACGCCTCAAGGATTTTATAAAGTTTCTCTGTGGATCTGGGCTCGACCTGATGAACCAGGAATCGTCATTTAAACGAGGTTTGAAATAATAAAGATGTTTATATTAACTAATGACAGTGATGGCCGACAGCGTGGATGTGAATGTCTGAGAAAACTCTTTCTTCTCTTCCTCTTCTCAAATACACAAAACCTGAGGAACCGTGAACTGAACCAAATCTGCTTCCTGTCTGACATCACTGTGAGATGATGTGCTTACTGTAGGTGTCACAGCACTGAGCTATGATACACCTCTGTGTGTGTGTGTGTGTGTGTGTGTGTGTGTGTGTGTGTGTGTGTGAGACAGCATGTGAACATTTTAAAGTATTAACGATCCAGGAGAACAAGAGTGAAAATCGGGGTCACCGCACGGTTACCTGTCACTGTCTGTTAGAGTAACATCTTCAAACGCACACTGACACACATCTGAGTCTCAGTAACACTACACACAAAACACACACACACACAGTCACATACATTCACATCACCATGGTACACACACACACACACACACACACACACACACACACACACACACACACACACACACCTTTGTTCTTTTATGGAGGCGAACACTCAGACGACTCTTTGCTGATACGACGTCACAGATTTCGACATTTCACAGCATTTTACCTTCAACCACTAATAATTTCTGCTGTTTAAATGAATCATGTTCATTTTAAAAATCCCAGCTAATTGTCTGAGGAACAGATTCATTGCTCTGATTTCCTCTTCAGCTGTGGTTTGTGGTTTGTGGCGGAGGAGAGAGAGGCGTCAGTGTCCTCTGAGTGTCTGGAGCTGAGCAGCAGTGTGGTCTCTGGTAAGAGAAGCCACCGCGCTTTAAAAGGTCACATATTTAATATTTAATTCCAACAGCAGCCATTTGTCCTGCTTAAATGTCCCTGAGCAAGACAAACAACCTCTGCTTCCTAACTGACTGTAATCTGCTCTGCACAGAGGCACCGGCTCACTGCTCTACAACATGAAGGCACTCGCAGCGAAGCATCAACCCTGATAATCATTTATTAAAACAATTTACAGCAACAGAACTTCACAGAAAAACTGACTGTGAGAAAATAAGACCTTTAATCGGGATTTTAAAACCTCAGATGGTTTTGAATTGAAATTATTTATGATTATTTATGAATTCCTTCACACATTAGAGGAAACACAGACCAGCAGCCAGAGGACAGGAGACCAGGTCTGAACTACAGCTGCTTCACAGTTCACTCATTCCTCTACAGTGACCACAACACAACGTGACCGGAGGTCAGAGCGAGTCCACGTGGGTTCATTCAGGTTTTAGACACACTGACATGAGCAGGACCCGACTGGACCGGGTATAACTGGGCCCCAGGACGCCTTGGGACCCGGGTCTCCATTACATGAAACCAGGGAAGTGATGGTTTCAAATTTTCACAATCATGTTATTGTGGCCAAAAATATTAAATACATCATGATTCTGCAACTTTAATGAGATACTGAGATTAGAGATGAAACACAATTAAACCTAAAAAACACTCAAACATGAACCACGTTCATTATATCAAGTGATAAATAAAGTGAAACACCATAAATATGAGCCGTGGGTTGTTCGATGGTTTCTCACTGAATAACTTCAAAAGCAGCAAAATTACTGCACGCACGCACGCGCGCACGCACGCGCGCACACACACACGCACACACAGAGAGCTTCTAACTCACCACTTCCAGATCTCCTTCTCCGGGCAGTTTGCGGTTGTCTGCGTTGTTTTCTCCTCTTCCTCCTCCGTCGTTGTGGCTGTTCGCCTCCTTCTCTTTCTGCTCAAAGTACTCGAGGAAGGACGGCTTCGCCGGCTGCATCGTCTCGTCTCTCCCTGTAAAACAAACATTTACTTTATCACAGCTGATTCACAGGAAATAGTTTTGGATCATATTTAACGTTAATGTGAAACACAAACACGAGCAGTGCCACTGAAGCGTGGCCCCACCAGAACATGGGCCCCGCTGCCGTCCTCTCAGGAGGATGTAGGCAGATGAAATACTCTCTGCCTTCACACAGATACTCAGCTTCTAACTGCAGTTTTGTTCTTAGTCGCTGGCGACTAAGTTCAAATACTGCGCCATGAAAAGCACCAAGACGGTGGTGAATATATTTTTAGAAGCATTGTACTGGGGAGTCTCCGATTGATCGGCCGCCAATCACGATCGCCTGATTTTCATTAAAAACGTGATCAGTAGATCAGAATTATTGCTTCTGGTTAGCGATCGCCTTCAAACCGATCACCTGTGGTTAATACTCAGGTGTCTGCAGCTGAGAGAGTCACTGTGAGCTGTGCAGTGTGGCCCCGCCTCACGACGGGCCGCCAAAACTAAACAACATGTCGGCCGTGTGGAACTTCTTACAAAGTGTGAGACACTGATACAACGTACGCCATCTGCAAGGCAGGACGAAGATGATCAGTATCAGCCGATCGCTCTCATACATGATCGGTATGTGATCGCCCCTTCATCGTACATCTACAGTCAACAATCTCCCTCACTGCACCATCTCTGCAGATTCTCCTCCAGGCTGCAAGAGGCTGCAGCTGCAGTTAGTAAAGGAAGTGGGGAGGGGGCAGGAGCAGAGTAAACACATGGTTTTACCCTTTCTGTGTGAACACAACCAGGACAGCAAACATACTTTCACTAAAGGCCAGATACAAGCCGGGTGCGAGCTCTGTTTTAACCCCACAGTTAAAGCAACACTCGTCCATCATGAGACAATGAGTTAGCAAGCTCCTGCAGTAGCAGCTTTACTGTAGAGGGCCATATGAGCACAAGTCAGTCCACAACTGGATATAATATAAATATCCTTTTACAACTTAGACAAGACTTTTTAACACGTCTAACACCTTCTTTCTTCTTTTTGGAAAATCAAAATATAATTTGAGATTTATTGATGTTTTTTTCAGATTTTTTCTTAAAGCTGAATTAAAAAAAAACATAATAAAAATGAAATCTACAGGGAGATAAACATAAGAAGCTTAATCACAAACGTGCCACAGACAACAGAGCAACACCAACAATCCTATCCTTGATTCTGTATGATAATGAATGGGACATAATAACAGTGGGAGTGATGATGTGATGTATGTGTGTGTGTGGATGAAGACAACATGAAAGTGTTAGTGTGTGTGGAGCTGCTGAGACACTGGTTCACTGGACAAACCCTCGTCTCTAATTTTGCCCAGATGAGTCGAGCAAATCACTGAGTTCAGCTGTTCCACTCATGGCTTTAACAATGTGTTGTGGTGTAACTGCAGTCTCCACTCCTACAGTACGGACACATCGAGTGTGATCACATACAGCCGCACTGTGAAAACAGTTGCTCAAACAATCCATACTCTCGACTTTATTGTTTTGTCGTCTTATGTAAAAAACAGATTCAAAGCCACATGTTGCCACATCTGAATCCCTTCCAGCTCCTGGAGAGGTTTCAGATATCAATCACTTTATCATTCTCTCTCTCTCTCACACACACACACACACACACACCTACACACACACACACACCTACACACACACACACACACACACACACACACAGGGTGCATTCATTAGCATCTTTAGCTAAATGTCTTAAAACATAAATCAGTGTATCTACATACGACAACATGATGCTACTACGAGCTGAACTCAGCTGTTCAGTCTGGAAGCTTCTGTGTTCATTAACTTTTTCCACTCATTTATTAAGTTTCTTCCTTTTATCTGTCTGAATCTAATATGATCTAATATCTAATGTGAATCATCTGCTCAGTATTTAGATGTTTCAGTTTTGGTCATTAGTGGACGGGAAACCCAAAATGTCAGATACATTTGGAGCTAAAAAACTTAACAAACAAAACAGTTTTATAAATGCGGAACAAACACAGTGTGAAACACCATTAACAAACGAATGCATTTTGTTTTACAAACACAAAATGTTCCTATGAAACAGAAACACGACATATTTCTAATTATCATGCTTCAGAAACAAAAACTAAAACGTATCACGGCTTTTGGCTCAACCTTTCCACTGTAATTGTCCCTCCACAACAGCAGGTGGCGCTACGAGCCAATTTAAATGCAGCGGCACGTTGAGCCGAGCAGATTGAACCGCCACTGCCAAAAGTTTATGACGGCGTTGTGTGAAGCTGTCTGAGACTGACTGATTCTAACTCTGGTTTGATTGACCAACCAGACTTCATCAATTTAGTAATTCTTCAAGAAGAAATGACAAATATTTGATGGTTCCTGGTTCTAAAATGTGAGAATTTGCTGCTTTTCTTGGTCGTACATTATAGTAAAATTAATATTTTGGTGTTTTTTAAACAAAACATCTGAGGATATAGTTTTCTGATGTTTTAAAGATCAAACGATTCATTCAGAAAATGATGTTAGTTGCAGCACTGATGGTAAATTCAGGTTCACTTGCTGCAGGTGGATCTTAAGGTGTCTGCCTCCTGGTGGTTAAACTCCAACAGTACAAACAACCACCTGTCATCAAACCTTTACAGTGTATTTGTCAGAACCTGATAGTCACCAAGCAGTTATTTCTGCTGTGTGTATTCTTAGCTTGGTAAAGCAGATTAATGCAGAGACACTAAGACGTTAGCTCACTTCAGCATTCTCCTATATCTCATCACCGATCTTGTGGCTCTGTGGTTTGTTTTCATTCTTTCCGCTGCGAGGTGCCGCCGCTCGGGATTACGCTGCCAAGAACACGGAGCTTGGAGAAGTCATTGTTGGAGGAAACCAGCAGCGGTTTTTCCCAATATGGAGTTTTTTCAACATCAGATGACAGAAGGTCGGACACATAAAAATCCATGATCTAATGTGTCTTTGATTCCAGTTTGTTATCTGGTGTTGTCGGGTAACTGGAGCAATTATCTGGCAGGTCAGAGACTCTTTCCAACTGCGCTTCATACTCCTATAAACTGTGACCTGCTGTGCTTTGTTGGTTGCTATGCCGACCCCATGTGGAGGCAAGCAACCGTGGTGAGCAGCGTTTCCTGTGTCTTGTGTTTATATACTTCTGGATGTACACGCTCTGATAGAGTCTGTGTTGGGAACTTATTACTGTGATGACTCGCATCACAACTGTATCAATGACACACGTCTTCAAGAGGAAAGGTCAAAGGTGAAGAAGCCCACGCAGTGATTAAAGTGAGATGATCGATGCAGAAACAACCGCAACGAGTTCTTCATCGAACATCTTCACAATCTCAGGAACGTGAACGCAGCTCGACCAGCGGCCAGATGCATGAAACTCAGACTCAAACTATGTGTAACATAACAACATTACACAAAACCAGAATTATGAATATACATTATTTTCATCAGGATTATAAAACCGTGCGTTCGCATCTCAGATTGGCGGATGTGGGCGAGCCTCGTTTCACTCCTTCATTTAGCCATAAATGGATGAAGACGTAGAAAGAAGAAGAATTTCACTGATTGTGAAACTGAAGTATTTTACTTTAGTACAATCACTCTGATGTAAAGTCCTGTTTCACTGTGAACTTCACATTAGCACTAGAGACTCTTAATGAGGCTCCAGACTCTAACACTGTGATCAGTCAATATTAAAACAGTATGAAACCGTTACAGAATGACTCACAATAAATAATGATATTAAACGATGAAGGAAACATTAAGCACAAACACAATTATTTCTGTTTATGAATTGTAAAAATTGTAAAACTTATAATGATGATAACGAATGAAGCTCCGTGAAGTTAGTTATTTTGTTTTCTGTTAAATCATGAGTCTTAGTTTATTTTGTATTTTCACTGTTACGTGGATCTCTTGAGAAACCGTGTGTTCACGTGGTCAAAGGAATGAGTTTATAAATGCTAATTTATAAACATGTTGTACAGATCATTGATGCTTCAGGCCCCAGGATTCTTCCAAAAAACTACGAACATGAGAAAGTGTGAGACCGGAGTATTCACGGTGCTCAGGCTCCACCTGAGTCTCTGAAACATGATTTTTCACTTTAAACTTCAGCCTGAGACAAAAACATGAAGTCGAGTGCTCTGACTCGCCAGGACTCTGACAAACATGGGGGACACTTGCTAAACTTCACCTCACATGGTGCTGGTCCAATTTTAATGGAGCCCAGTTTAAATGTTTTATAACACATTTTAAATAAACTACATTTTTGAGCAGATTCTTCCACGCACCCTGACCCACGACATGCGCATCGTGGTCCGAGTCTGAATCACCTGCCATGTGGTCAGTGAGGAAGGAAACACACACCTGACAAACCAAAGTGAACAACAGAACAAAAACATCTGGTGACATGAACGGCGTCTGCTGCGTGAACGAAGGACAATGAGAAGAAATGTAGAGAGAGAAGTTGCATGAATTTTTTTACTTGCCCTTTTCTCAGCCTGAAAGTGAATCTTGTGTTTTTCAGTAAACAGTAAACAGCGGAGAGATGAGGAGACGAGGGGAGCTGAGTGACGCACCATGATTCATGAGATAGCTTCAATTTTCTCATTAATTTAAGCAGCTCAGTCGCTGCCACACCCAGACGCCTTTTTCTAATGAATAGATTCTCGTGACATTTAGGGCCTTTGTCATTTTTCCACATTCTGATAACAGATGGAGAGGATGGAAAAGAAGAGGGAGTGCTCGGATCGTTTTACTGGAACGTGAACTAAAATGATTTTATTTCAGTTGGGTGATTAATTATAATCCTGAATTGTATCCCTGCACAGACACTGAAGGTCGGAGATGCCGTCTGACTGTCCTGAGCCGCTCTGATCAGCTGATCAGCCAAAAAGACAAAAGAGTCATAAAAAGGTTTCTTCCATTAGTGTTTGTCACCCACTAACAAGCCCATTATTTG